ATACACTACTACTATATATATATATATATATATATATACATCCATATATATATATATATATATATATATGTTCTGAGTTATTCAAGATTGTCCTTCAGAAGCATCGAGTGTACTATAGTTCAGCATAATTTAGTACACTTTGCTCCATAATCATCAAACATACTGCCTAAACCCTAAACCCTAAACCATTAAACCCTAATCATCCAGAATGCTGCCATTTCGCATTGATAGGTCTAAAAACATTCGTAGTGACGCAACCAGCAGGTCACTTGTCTACGTGTTTGTACCGTTTAAGTATCTATTGAATTATATTGACGATGCATATGATGTGAATATAAAACCCGGTGTAGTGAGATACCGTTTAAGTATCTATTCCACTGTATTGACGACGCAGATAGTGTGAATACAAAGCCCGATGTAGGGGAATCTGAATGGTACACTTCTCACGGTTGACCACTGTCAACGCCTACGGGATTATTCCGAATGATCACACAAACGACCCAAACTGACCTTGTGCATTTCTTGAGAATGAAGTATCGGGGTATTACCCCCCCCCGGGGCGCGCAAAAATGAACAAAATTAAAAGGGTATTAACAATCTGCCACAACAGTGCTCAGAAGTCGCGCTCTACCTACACATTCCACCCACACAACAACACAACACCCCCACCTCATATGTGACACCTGCATCCTCCTCGTCCGACAGGTCGTTGAATACACTCAGCACCACACCCTGCAGCGTAGACATGACCAGCGTGTGCGTGTTCTTCTTGAACCGCGCCTTCATCTCCACTGTGCCGTGGTTGTACGCCCACATGAGCCTCCTGCCGCTGTACTTCCCGCCGTAGAACTGGTCGTACGCTGCCTTGGCACGCTCAAAGACGGTCGGCAGGATGCACGAGGGCAACTCACCAAAGGGCCATGTGCCCAGAGTCACCACCTTGACTTCTAGTGCAATCTGGTAGGGGTGGGGGGATAAGCACCACGGCAGCAGAGTACCAACAGGTCAGGCAAGTGTAAGAAGGGGTAGATGACGGTATACGAGATATACAATGTAGATGATAGATTGTGTGGATGAAATACTTATTTATGCAGATTAATTACCGGCAGGAAGTGTGTGGGCCGCTCCAGCGCGTCGAAGGACCACGTGGGTAGGGTCACCACTTTGGACTTCTAATGCAATCAGATACACGCATGCAATTTGTACTAAAAGGCTAGCGTATTGCAGACACAAACAACCGAAAAAATAAATATAAAACAACCCCCCACAAAAAAAAGTCAAGTACACGCCCACACAAAGCCATAAACCCACATCAAACAGCATGGATCACAGAAAAACCTCGCAGGTTTAGCTGTTCAGTGAGACCTAACGGTTCGTCTCCGCTTTTCCAATACGTTTATCTGCACACTGACCCACAGTCCATGCCAAAATATAGGACCCGCACAAACCCGGGGCAAAGCTCGTATAGACAAAAGACCTCAACTCACCTAACAAACACACACACACACAGATATATAATATATATATATATATATATATATATAAGACCACCTCATATCACCACACACAGCCAATCTCACTCACAGAGCCGATCTCACTCGTACATCCAGTGGTTCGTCTTCAATTCTCATAATCTTCCTTTCCGCGTAATGGAACAACACCCGCACAAACTCTCAGACCAACCACACAGACCAACACCAAAACACTAGTCACAACATCGACCCCATCAAGCAATTCGTACAGCAGACACTTCACATATAACTTCTTCGCATCACTCACATCCAGTAGTCCGTCCTCGTTTTTCGTATCCTTCTTATCCGCACAGAAACTCGCAAACGCCCTATTGGTCTCTTCTGATATGGACATGTCTTTGAACATCTGATCCAATTTTTGTGTGTAGTGTGTGCCCGATTCTGTTTTGAGCTTCAGCATCATGTTGCGCTCAAATTCTTCGCTGACATTTTTGGAGCTGAGCAAGCGTTTGGCCAGGTGTGATTTGTAATAGCGTTCGAACAGATCCTTTTCTTCCAGAAATCTGTGTGTGAAAGGAAAATTAAATGAACTATCAGATCATAAGCATGAACCCATTGCTTCGCCTTATGGAGATATGTTCATGAAATTCACTTCGCTATTGGTAACAAGCAAAATCAAGTTCCTTATTCTAAAGAGGGGAGGTAAAAAACTGTAGTAGAATAGAGTATGTGATGCCTACACACACACATTTATACACACATACACACACACACAAC